TCAAAACGTATCCCAGTAATTAATATCAAGTTTAGTGATTTTTTTTCTTGGTGGTGTCCCCCAAACAACCGCAAGGTAAGTGATCAATTTTTGACTAGAACACCAGGAGAAACTCCGTTCTCTTTTCCAACAGCACCTGATATGAAAAGTAAATTGTCTCAGAGGCTCCAGATATTGGAAAATGAAAGGTTAATATTCCTCAACCTGGGATAAATCGACTGCCATGAATTTCCACCAACTTTCATGAAGAAAGCAGTAATTTCTGCCTTTGCAATATTTTCACTCTGTGCTTTTAAGAGTTAAATAGATTATGTTTCTGGAAAACAAAACAATGAGCTAATATGCATCTTCCTGTGAAACCTCTGTGGAATTACAGCATTAGAGTTTGATGCTCACATCACACCAATCAGCTAAAAGCTTTCATTGTTGCCCTTCTGTGTGAGATGCAATGACTCTGCCACGAGGTACCTAATGGATGTTAAAAGCTTTTTTTATACTCTATTATTTCACTGTAAATAGATAATGACTTTTAGCGGAAGCAGAAGGAAATCATTTTCCTGGTCACTATATTTCTTAGAGACATTGCTGAAACTTTGTGCCAACAGTCAGCGATGCTCCTACCAGCGCTCTGGTTACAAAGGCTCTATTGAGAGCAGTTCTCACAACTGCTTGTCCAGTTTGTCACGGGTCTGTTCTTAGTCGAGACTGACGGAAGAGAATCACGTATGTGAATGATGGAACCTTACATTTGCATTTGAGACATCGTTGAAACGTCTCAAATTGCTTCACAGAATATATATTGTAAAGTGGATTGACTGTGTATTTTGGGGGCGAAACATGGCAGCCAATTAGATCAGAGTGGAAATTCTGGCAACTATTCAGACCAGCACAGGATACAATTACAATTGTATTAAACACAGCCCCTTATCCCATCAAACCGCCTCAACGTGCTTCACACCATGAGTTACTTTGAAGTGGAGGAGGACACAGCAGCTAATCCAATAACGCAATAATAATAATAATAATCCTTGCATTTGATGTCAAGCCTTATCACACCGTTGAGATATCGGGTATCATTTGGGATGTCAGCCCAGCTCAGTTGGTAGCATTCTCTAAGTCAGAAGGTTGTGGGTTAACTCCCCCCACCTTCCCGGGTCAGGACTTTGAACTGATATAGTCTAGACTGACTCCAATGCAGGGCTGGAGGTGTGCTGAATTGACAGAAGTGCTGTCCTTCGGATAAAATGTTAAAAAACAAGGTCCTGTCTGCCTCTTCAAGTAGAAAATAAATAATAATAATCCTTGCATTTGATGCAACATCTTTCACATCATCTATATTCAAAATCCTGACATGGGACTTGAACCCACAACCTTCTGAATCAAAGGTGAGTATGCTTCCAACTGAGCTGGTTGACACATAGATGAGAACATGGAACCAAACAGTTGAAAAATATAATCCTTGTTTAAAAAATGATGTAAATCTAATGATTGGGTGTCAGGTTGGTGGAGTCAGGAACAGGAACTTGTCCATGAGTCACAAAGTTACTGAGTTATTTCCAGGCTGATACTCCAATACTCCAATACGGGATTGGTATCAGGAAAGCACTGCATTGCCAGAGGTGCTGTCCTTTGGATGAGATGGTGCAATATGATTTGGTGCTATAAATTGCAAGTGTGTTCTATTATTGGCCTTCTTAAAATATACAGCACAGCCATACACAGTGCAGTTTCTTTTACACAAGGATAAAAAGTGACAAAACCCACCACTAGGGGGCACTCAAATGTCGTTTTTCCATTCTGGAGTGAAACAGAAGAGAATGTTTTGCCTCAATGAGCCACCAGGTCGCACAAGAAAGAGCACATCCAAATAATAAGTACTTTACTAAGTACCCTTTGAACTTATTTATTAATTACCGCCTTTATAAAGAAATACTATTGAACGTTTTTCTTGAAACTGCCTTGAAACGGATCCTCAAGCATGCAGTCGGCCATTATTTTGCGTGACTGTTGGAAGTATTTATTTCCAGCTTTACTTTAACTACAAAATACAGTCACTACACTTTATAGTACTTCCAGTGAAGCATTCTGCAAGTCCCAATAATGTGATAAGCTGCTGAATCATTATATATTACATAAATATCAAATGCAAGGATTATTATTTTTTGTGTTTCTTATTACTATATAATAATAATCATCGAATTTGGTATGGAGCCTTATTACAATGTCAAGCTATCTCGAAGCACTTCACAAGATTTTACCTTTAAGTTTGGTGGTTATGTATTTGCCGGTCAGTGCAACAACCAATTTGCACCCAGCAATGTTCCAAAAAAAACCATGAAGTGGCGGAGCATGACACCGCACTGTGGAGGGGGAGGAGGTAGCCATAACCACAGTCAAAGAGGAAGGTCTTCAGTCAGGATCTAAAAGAGGGAAAGGAGAGGGCAAGACAGTGGGTTTGGGGGAGAGAGTTCAAAAGCTTCGGGCAGACAGCACCTCGTTTTAACATCTCATCTGAAGGGCCACAACCACTCAGGGCTCGGCCAGCACTGCATTGCAAAGCGAGCTGTAGACTGCGAGTTCAATGTGCCAACTTGGGCCACTAATCTGACTCAAGGAGTTTCTATTGAGTGAGCCAGGTTACAACTCACTGCAAGTTTCTCTGGGTGTTGGTGGAGTAAGAGTTGGACACTATTGGCTGTGCAACGCTATGTGCCACCTGCCAGTGTGTCTGCCCCTCCCTGCCCTGGTCCTGCTCAGTGTTTACAAACACTCCCTACTTGGGTCAGAGGCCTGACATGCTGCAGATATGATGGACAGAGCCGAGCACATGTTCTGGGACAGTGAGGTGGGGAGAGAGCAATATCCCTATCTCCCAGCCAAAGCTCTCCCTATCTAATCCACCAATACCAATGACACAGCTCCCACACGGGAAGTGGGTTTAGGAGACCCCCCGGTTTTATTTCAGGTGCAAGTTCCACTTTTTTTCCCCCAGTTTAACATGTGCACCGCGTGCAAATCACGGAGCTGTTTCACAGTCCCTTACACATTAGATCTGGCTTTTACAACTCCTCCTCTGCAAGCCCAGAGATAGTGCACTTCTTATTGCAATCAATCATTATTTTTTTAAAAAATATTTTTTCCTTACTTTCATTTGATGTTGCAATGGGAAGATACAAACAGGCAAAAAAGGTCTCAGGCAAGATTTTCATTCTTGTATTCCCCGATCCTGATGTTATTGCACAATCATATTCTTTTACTTGAGTTGTTTTGTCTTTTTGGGGATATTTTGATCTTTTTGTAACATCAGGAAATAAAACAAAAATTACACTAATTATTACACCTTATTCTGTGTGTCGCCTTGGCTCACCATCATCTCTGAGTTGGGAAGTTGTAAATTGAAGCCCCGTGTCAGGATTTTGAACTCAGTTGAGGCTGACGTTATATCTGGGGAGAGCTCATTGCATACCTTGTCAGAGATACTGTCGTTTGGAAAGAGCCATTATACTGAGCCGTTTGTTATGTTAAAGATACTCTGACACTATTGGAAATGAGAAGGAAGTTTCTCTAGGTGTCCTAGCCAACAATTCTGCAGATTAATTGGTCATTTATATTGTGGTTGTGTGTGACATCTCGTACACAGAATTGCTGCCATATTTGTCTCCATAAAATAGCCTTTACACATTTATAATTACATGTGAAGCACATTGAGACATTTCAATATGCAGTAAAAGTAGCTCGATGACCTGGACTTTCATTTGTAATAATAATCATTGAATTTGATATAGCGCCTCATCACGTCTTCGAAACATCTCAAAGCGCTTCACAGAATACACTGAAGTGAATTGATTGTACATATGGTGGGCGCAATGTGGCATCCAATTGCGCACAGCAGTTTATCAATTTAGTTGTGCAAAGCTTTTTGAGATGTTCATTTTCCACGAAACACTGCTGCATAAATGTACCTGGGCTCTTCAGTTTTTAGAGAAGGCAACTCAGAGGAGACTTCATAGAGCTGTATAATATTTTAAATGGGATTCAAACGGTAAACCCAAAACTACACTTTAGGATACACCAAATAACAACAACAAAATTACATCTGTATTGCGCCTTTCATGTCAGGAGGACATCCCAAAGAGTAGAACAAGGAAAGAAACAGCCTGCGGTTGAAGGGGGGTAAATTCAGAACAAAGCTGTGGAAACACTACTTAAAATGAGTGAGTCGTAAACTTATGGAACACAGACAGACGGTGGAAGCAGAACATGTGGTTTGTTTCAAGAACAAATTTGACAGATTTCTGGTAGAAAATAATATCTGGGACTATAGCACACAGTCCAGGACACGACAGGTCAGGTGGCTGTCAGGTCAGGTGGCCGCCGGGGCTGGTGGTGGCCGCACGGGGCTGGTGGTGGCCGCCGGGGCTGGTGGTGGCCGCTGGTGGCCGCCGGGGCTGGTGGTGGCCGCCGGGGCTGGTGGTGGCCGCCGGGGCTGGTGGTGGCCGCCGGGGCTGGTGGTGGCCGCACGGGGCTGGTGGCCAGTGGACAGATGGACCTGAGTCCACCCACTCTCACCACCAAATGCTTCTGATGCTGTGGGGTGTGGCCCAGCCCGAGGCCCCGCCCCCTCGGCCTCGCTGCTCTGCGCGGCAACCTAACCTGCTTCAGCCCCGCAAGCCCCGCCCCAACACCGGCTCTGCTCTGATTGGTGGAGCTCCCGGCAGGCGCGGGAGGCTGCGGCGCTCTATTGGTCAGAATGGCTGCTCCTCGGCACCGGAGGGGCCGCCATTGGTCAGCTCGGCCGTCACTTACCGGCTGTGCGGCCACTATTGGTCCAAACGCCGCCGCCAGTCCCCGGAAGCGGGCCGGGAGGCGGGACCAGGCCGGCGGTTTGTGCCAGCACGTTGGGTTGCCGCCGCCTCGCCGCCCGGCGCCGCCTCACCGTTTATTCCGGTTTTTTTAATTAAATTTTTTTTATAAAAATATTTTTATTAACGACAACAACAATGGCCGCCACCGCCACCCGCAGCAGCGAGGCCTCGGCCATCACCAGCGCCGTGACCGGCAGCACCGACTGTGGTGCCCGGGCCTTGTTGGCCCTCAAGTCGGCTCCGTGCAGCCCGGCCCGGGGTCAGGCCCACTGGGAGGCCGAGCAGGAGCTGAGCGGCGGCGGCTCGTCCTCCTCCTCGTCGTCGTCCTCGGGCCCGGCCCCCGCCCCCGCCCCCGCCGTGCCGCCCCCTCCCCAGCTCCTCGCGCGGCTCGAGGGCCGCGACTTCGAGTTCTTCCTGAAGAAGAGCAGCGTCACCATCGGCCGCAACTCCAGTCAGGGCCCTGTGGACGTCAACATGGGCCACTCGAGCTTCATCTCGCGCCGCCACCTGGAGATCGCGCGCGGCGCCGACACCGGCTTTTACCTCAAGTGTCTCGGCAAGAACGGCGTGTTCGTGGACGGCGTCTTCCAGCGGAGAGGAGCCCCGGCCCTGCAGCTCCCCAGAGGGTAGGCACCGGACACCTCTCCCTGTCCTACACCATCGCATCTCTCTCTGCACCATTACACCTCTGTCTCTACATCACCGCAGATAGTCATCACGACATCTCTATCCACAGCTCTATATCATTATATTTCTGTCTGTACATCATTATATCTATAACTCTACATCAGTATATATATATATCTATGTCATTACATCTCTCTATACATATCTATCTCTGCATCATTACACCTATTATCTTTAAATGAGTATATCTATATGTCCATATATCTATATCATTACATCTGTATCTGTACATCATTATATCTATAACTACATCAGTATATCTATATACACATATATGTATTAGAAATGCTTAGGGTCGCAACTCTGCTTAAAGGGCGCTAAATGCAACTTGTTATATCCATATATGTACAGCCACATATCTGTGTATATATGTATACATTTATATAGTTATCTTATGTTTATATTCATACTATGCCCTTGCTATAATTACATGCATCCATATATTGCACTCGCCTTACTATACTTATATACGACCATTATGGTTGTGTGCATCTATAAAGTGTAATTCTTATCGCACTGCCATATTATTGCATGTATCCGTTTTAATTGCATTTCACTTTATGATTGCACGTTTTTATTTCTGAAGGATTATTGCCTTTGAGGATCTTTATATGCATCTAGTTCCGTTTTGTTGTTGTATGCAGTCTGGTATTCAAATTGTATTGTTGTTACACACCCCCATGTTATAATTGCATATATCCATGTTGTTAGATTTGATATAATTCTCTCGACACTGATGCAGTTCGTTTATTTTACTTTTTTGATATGTGCATTCAATTTCCCGATTTGTTTTAATTGCTGGCGTTTTCATTATTATCGTGAATGTCTTTCTCAGTAGCAGCACGTGTGTACTTCCTGTCACCCTACACGTGTGTGTGCGGATCTGTGTGATGGCGTGGTTGGTGTAGTTGTGTTTTGAACAGTAATAGGGACTTTTGGCTGTGATTGCGGGTTTGGTAGTTAGCAGTTGAGCTGTTTTGACCTTGCCGGGGTTAGAAAGCTCGGTGCTGTCAGTGCTGTAAATGAAAGTAACAGTTGGCGAAGGGAAGGGTGTATTCATTCAGGGTGTGAACGTTTTATAGTTCTCTCTCCCTCTATTTGCTCTGCTCCACCCACCGCATAGTTATTTTGCACATCCATATGCTTAAATGCTTCAAGTGATTTTTTTTGCTGCTCATTTGTATCTTTTTGTTGTTTTTTACCCCCAACTTGCCCAACAACGTACCGATAATGTAACAGTATTATGTTCACCTGCAGGACGGTTTAAGATTGAAAGGTTTTTGTAGGTGAGCGTTGTGATTGAAAATGGTTTATTTACCGTAAAGTTTTTATTTAAAGCTTGACTTTACTCGTACATTTGACCAGGGCAACCATTTTGAAGTTTTGTAAAGGGCTTGAATTGTATTTCTGAACAGAATTGCTGGAACTTTAGGTAACTTAATGGGTTGGCTGTGTATGATAATTATTAAGTAAATTATTTTTCCCCAAAAAAGTCACCATTCAAATGATTTCATAGAAAATGTGTGTTTCCAAAAGGCATCAATTGAAAACCAATTTTACTGGAGGTACAATTTAAAACTTCGGCTGCTTTGTGTCCCTGGTGATACAGTAGTTTGTTTTGTCACTGGTATTTTAATTTAGTTTTTTTAATTAACAATCTGGGACAAGACTACATGTATATATACTGCTCCACCTACAGTATGCCTAATTGTACTTATACCAGTTTTATTTTGGAGTGAACTGAGTATTTCCATTTGATTAGGGAGTGAATCAAGTTGCATTTGGTGCCTAAATTGATCTTCTGGAAGTGTGAGATAAATTTAGGTGTCAGGCCTATTTCATCTGAAGAATTGCTCATGTGATTATGAACTCTCAAAATGGGTTTCACTCTTATATAACTCCAGTATATAATAATACGAGCAGTCTGAATCCAGATCATGTTGATGTTGCTTAGCAGTGAGGTTGACGTCGAAACTGCTTAGTGTCAGCCTGCTCATATCTATATGCGGCCTCTGCCCATATATGTTCAACGTTGGCCATTGGAAGTGTAAAAAGTGTCCTCTGTTTAAGTGTCCTGCAGCATTTCCATCATGAAAAATAAAAATATAATTATATTAATGCATAAAGAAATATCTTCTTCATTTAGAGAACTGACTAACTTGTTAAGCTAAGGTGACTATATGATCTGCTCTATTTAAAAGAACTATTTAAAAGAAAGTATTTTTAAAACCTCTTTTTAAAAAAACATTTGTTTTTATTATGGTTGAGAAATGAAATCCCAGGTAGAATGACAGGTGCAATGCTGAGCTTACATCATAAGTCATTGTACCATGTGCTATCTGATAACAGGGTCAGAAACGAGCAGCGACAATTTGTTTAGTCCTCTCGCATACAAATGCTTCCAGAAGAGGCAATAATGGTGCCGTGCACCTGAATTTAAAATTTATTTAAAAAATAAATCACACCCATTGCTGGTAGAATTGGAAAATGGTGATTTTTTCCATTGTTTGTAATATACTATGTAGTGTAATGCTGTTTTGATAACCAGTGTTTCAGTGAATCATAAAGCTAATTGGAGAGTTTGACAACTGAGCATCTCTTTTGAATAGCATTTATAATAATATTATAATAATAATATTGTCCTTGCATTTGACATAGCACCTTATCATGTCATTGAGATGCTGCAAAGCGCTGCACAGAATATACTATACTGTAAAGTGAATTGACTGTATCTTTTGTGCCCCCCCACCCACTTCTCACCCTGCTGTGTGATCATCATCGTGGAGTCCTGTAGCTCAGTGGTTAGAGCATTCGCTTTGCAAGCGAGAGACCTGAGTTCAATTCCAGGCAGAGGGTGAAACCTTGGGCAAGTTTCCTTACTCCACGCAGAGCCTAATAATTATCCCTCCAAAACCAAAAACAATAATAAATTGGTCATTTTCAATCCACGACTGTTTGTGGGACATTGCTGTGCGCAATTGGCTGCCGCGTTCGCCCACAAATATACAGTCAATTCACTTTACAGTGTGTGCTGTGAATCGCTTTGGGATTTCCTCCCGACGTGAAAAGCGCTATATCAAATGCAAGGATTATTATTATTTGTGAATGTTTTTGCCTCCTCTGTCCAAGACATTCCCACAGATACACAGGTTTCTGTGCAAGATGCCCCCTATTTGATGAGTGCAGCTAAGTTGTTATATATAAGTTGTTCTGTTGAGCACTGGAACTGGATAACACTTGAGGCTAATACCATCACATCTAATGCAAACGAGTCTACATGATGTACAACTGCGGTGGTGGAGGAAAGTTGGCCAACAAAGTTGATACATAATGAGCAATGGTGAAAGATGCAATTAACTTGTGGATGAGTAAATATTATTCTGGTGAGTTATTGCACTAACCCCAGTTTTGAACTTTATTTGTTCAAAGGTTGAACTGATGATTTTGTTCAAAATATTAGTTCTAATTTTAACTCGTAACTACCATGATTAAGCAGGCCTGTGCTTTATTGCTGCGCATGTGTAAATCACTGCCTGGTCTCTACAGATTAAACATCATCTTGAAGATTCCATTACCTAATGCCACAAGAATGTTGGAACAGGAAATGGCCATTTAGTCATCCAGGTCCTTTTTTAGGACCACTTTTTAAAGTAGTTTTAAAAAGTAGTCCTGAATCAGAAGTTTGTCTGATTGGATTTTATGTTCTTTATCTAGTAAAGGTGATGATCAGTTTAATGAATTGACACACCTCACATGAAGAAGCAGGACGTTACTTAAGTTTAACTTGCAACTCGCATCCTCTTGTTTTGGACAAAATACATTTTCCATCAAGTTATCCTGTTGCATTTTGCGGTTTTCGAAAGAGAACAGGCTTAGTTTTCTTACATTTTATTCATAGCTGAATTATCTAAACCCTTGAATTTTCTCAGTTGCCTTTCACTGAATCCTTGGTTCCCTAATGACATTGTAGCATCTGTTGCTAGATTTGCTGTAAGCTTACCTATAGAAAGAAATAACTCCACTTCTGTTCCATACAAGTAATATAATTACCGCAAAATACCTGAATATATTTTCTTCTTAGAACAAAAGTGGGATCATCTTTGTTGGTGTGTTTTTGGCATATAGATAGGGTTGGTTGGGGAGGAAAGAAGATAATAAAGCATTGCAAAGATAATAACAAATTGCACTTTACAATTTCACTGTAACACCTCTAAGGTCTCAAAGTAGTGTCTTTACCTCAGAAGTGCAGATCCATTACATACATCTGCTAAGAGTGATTGCTCCTCATACACAGTCAATTAAAATAATGATAATGAAGTGCTGACTGAAATGAAAATGGGTGGAATGCATGCAGAAATGCACATTGTTTCCTAGTAGGTACGTATACATTTAATTCTCTGATGAAATTGTTTTGATGTTTTTTATTGAGATGTATAAGTGTGCCATGGTTAAATCCTTTGAGGTGACTTTTGTAAGTTATGAGTGTTCAAAACAGCCAAGTTTTCATTTTCGCCTATAATTTAGCCTGTGAGGTGTGAAGTGAGTAGTATTCTCAGTTATGATACTGAAGATGCCTGTCATATTTGTTAGGCTCATGCAAAGATTAACAAAACATGTATGATTTCTAGTTGTAACATTTATATTTTGTTATATCAGGCAGGTATTAAAGTGGCTCAGGTATAAAAACTCAGGGAATTGGATCAAAATGGTCTTTATGTAAGGGTGGCCTCTGAGTAAGGGTTCATTGACTCGTAGCACATTTACCAACACCGCTGGTGAGCATATGATGGGCATCGCAAACTTGTCTTATCCGATTAGAGTAGAGGTAAGTTTTGCAGTATTTATTTTTCGTGACCCATTTAATTTCACACAAAAACTTCCAAGCGTACATATAATAATAATAATCTTTGCATTTAATATAGCGCTTTTCACGTCTTCT